GCCCGTTCCCTTGCTGCCCAGGCGCTGGATGTGAAATAGCCAGTGAGATGACTTGTGCAAAGTCCATGTGCGAAAAACAGTATTTATTTCTTCTCCCTCCTTCCCTAGGGAGCTTTCCGGCTTTTGTTGGTTTTAATCAAATGGTGGTGGTATGTCCTGTCCAATGCCTGATGTTCTAGAGAAATACAAAGGTGACACACCTCAGGCTTAGGAACTTAGTCCTAGTAAATCAGCCTCTGAGCAAAGTGAGTAGAGACAGGCCCTACGGTGCTGCTGGAAGGGTGTCAGTAAGCCAGACCTTGGCTTTTGAGGCTTCCCTCACTTCCCTTCGTGCCCCCAGTACAGTGCTAAAGGTCTGTGGACCCAGCACCCATCTCCCCTGTGGCAGGCTGTGAGGGCTCCCTGGGAAGGCTCCAGGGAGTGGGGCAGTAGAGCAGAGGGGGTGTGAGCCAAAGGGAAAGGCTGAGAAGGCGTTGCTGACACGTCAGTGCCAGAGGGTGAGGGTGGAGCAGAAATGGGGCTCTGCCACCCCTGCTGAGGGACACAGGGGTCGGGGCAGCAGACCTCAGGCCTCTGGCAACAACTCCTTAAAAGTGTCCACAAGGAAAAGGCAGGCAGCCTGCACTAACTGGCTTTGTGGCCCTCTGGCTTCAATTAAGGAAAAACCTGCAATTTAGAAAGCGGAACAGGATTGTTACTCCCACTTATGGCAGCCCCGAAGCGTGGTCCCATTCGGAGCCTGGGTTGGCAGCCTCCCTGATTCCGTGTGTCACCTGCCCCCGTGCCCTCCAGCTCGCGCGAAGGACCTTCGGTGAGGCCCCTGTGATGTCTCTCCTAGATGAAGCCCATGAACGTTGAATATCTCATGATGGACGCTTCCATCCTGCTGCCTCCAACAGGCACACCCCTGACGGGCATAGACTTCGTGAAGCGGCTGCCCTGTGGTGACGTGGAGAAGACCCGGCGGGTGAGTGAGTGCCGGATCTGTCTCTCCCATGCAGCCAGATCCTTTCCAGGCCAGGGAGGAAGGGATTCCTGGTCCAAATCCAGAGCCTGCCGCCGGCACAGCTGAGATACCAGTGGCGAGCTCCTCTCCCACACACCTGCCACCCTTTGGCGAGCAGGGGCCGGAATGCCACTGCACAGGCACTGTTGTGGCTGCAGGCCGGCCACCTTCGAAGTGCAGAGGAGAGTCTGAGCCCTGAGCTCAGGAAGCGGAAGCCAGGAGGCAGGGCTTCTGTGAACTGGGCAGAGCACAGCAGCCGGTGTAGGTGAAGGTGGTGTGAAACCTAAGCCCAGAGATCTCACGACCCCCAGAGATGGCGTGGTGTTACGTATCTAGCTAATCTCGGGGGTAGGCACACGCAAGTGAGATCGTGAATCTTACGGCCTGTGGGAGAAGCGAGTGTGAGGAGCACAGAGTTCTCAGAAGCAGCTGGAGCAGGCACTTCCCTTATCAGCGCTTTTTGCTGAAGCGGGTGCTCTAGGAAGCGGTCTCAGCCGTGCTGTTCATGGTATTTTATCTCCTTTGTAAGATCACAGTTTCTTTCTTAGAAAGCGCCACAGCCTTTTCCTAGAAAAACATTCCCTAGAGATGTGAATATCAGTGGATAATTTAGAGGAATTCCTTGCATGCAGCTCTGGTTATCAGCCCACATCTTGTGAGTTAATCTGGGTGTCACAGTGACAGAGGTGTTTCACTTTGGGATTTTGGAAGGTGGGAGTGACCTGCTGTGTGATCTCAGACAAGAGGAATCTGTGACCTTCTACCCAGCTGGTACTTTTGCCTGGACAGCAGGGGTGGGGTGCAGAGGAAGTGGGACCCGTGTGTCTTGAGTCTGTCCGTATTCTCAGCTGTCTGAGCAAACCCACAGACTCACCACAGGCCCAGCCTGCCCAGCTGCCACCGCCTTCCTTCCATGTGCTTCTTGAAGCACTGTGGCCCCACCAGGCAGTTTGGGTGGCAGCATCTGTTCTTGGCATCCTCAGCTTTCACTGGAAGACTGGTTCTGAAACGGGGGTGTGTGGGGGTCCTGTTGACGACTCCTCCTCTGTGCTGGCAAGCCCGCCCTTCGCTGCTTGTCCTAGGAGCTACTTCCGGTGTGTTCCAGCAGACCACCCATGCTGGGGCTGCAGTGTCCTGGGTGCAAAAGAGCCCTGCCACAATGTTTCAGTTAAGCCTCTGACATAGAGGTGCAGGGCCCTGCCTTCCTTAACCCCTTTAGAAATGACTATCCTTTGCTATAAAGTGGCTTCTTCATTTCTGTTCTTTGCAGTGGGTTTCCTTATTTACTTTCACACCCACCCTAGGAATTGAGCACTGTCGCCACATTTCACAGGGGAAGCTCCTAAGAGGCAGGAAAGGTCAAGCAATTTGCTCATGCACACAGGCTGTCGGGAAGCTCAGCCACCCATTGGCCCCAGCATGTGGCCTCCAGAACCTAAGCACTCTGACCCTTTGCTTCTCACTGCAGCTGTCATGGCATCGCCTACCCCTCTTGGGGCTGAACACAGGAATGCTGAAAACACAACCCCACCCTCAAGGAATTGGTCTAATGGGCCAGAGGGGGAAGACAGCTCAGTCCATTGACCCCATTGTCACTAAAGTGTCATGCGGGCAGATCCCTCATTCCAAAGGGAACAGGCACCAGAGAGGGTGGTGATTAAGCCAAGACTACAGGAGTGGACTGGGCACTGAGGGAGGCAAAGGCATGTTGTGGCATCACCAAGTAGCTGCAGCAGAGTGGAAAGTCATGAGGCTGGCAGGGGAGAGGCGGACAGGAACCCGATCCTGGAGCCTTGGAGCTGATGAGGTCCTTGGCCATTACCTCCTAACACTGTTTCGTGACATCATGCCCTGCTGGGCTGGGGCGGATGCCTGTCCATAGGAAAAATGGGAGAGATTGGGGGTAAGCTGTCAGGCATGTAACAGAAAGGAGATTGTGTGTTTACTTTAAGCGGCTGTCTTCATCTACAGAATAGAATATGCCTGCCTTTCCAGAGTTACTGTGAGGACTTGATGGAAGTCGTGTACACTGCAGGCCATGGTCAAGTCCATTATGGTAGTGGTTCTCTTCTTCCCTTTGTCCTTGCATCTCACAGCTGTAAGTTCCAGGGCTATACTGCCCAGCTTTCCTTCCCCAGGTGGGATGCAGAGCCCAGATGGCTGGCTGAAGCACAGACAGAGGCCCTGGGGGCACCTGGGCTTTCCTGGTGGTTCCTGTTAAGCCTTTGTTTGCCTGACCAGTTTATAAAATCATCTGTAGAGTCCCAGAGACCCTGGGCAGCAGAATGAAATAAATAGGGCAGGCCCCTCAAAGCTTTAGAAAAGCTTCCCTTTTTTGATCTCAATAATCAAGCCAGCAAGGTGGTACACACATATTATCCTAGCACTGCAGGAGGCTGAAACAGGAGGATCACAAGTTCAAGTCCCACCTGAGCAAGTTAATGAGAGCCTGCCTTAGACACTGTCAGTGGTTATGTAAACTAGTACAACCACTACGCAGTCAGTATGGAGATTCCTCAAAAACTGAAACTAAAAATTCTGTTCAGTCCAGCTGTTCTCAGGCCAGGGATTAGCTCAGTGGTTCCAGTGCCTGCCGCGCAAGCGCAAGGTCCCAAGTTCAATCCCTGGTACCAAAAAAAAAAAAAAAAAAAAAAAAAAA